TTCATCTCATCTTCGACACACAGATGGAAGCCTGAAGAATAAAGGGGAAGGTGCCCCACATACATATATCCAGTGTATCTGGATCCGTCTCTCCTCCAAAGTGAGTTGTGGTGCTAAATGGAAGGGTTTGTTGATTTTTCCAACAGAAAATTACTATTTGTTTTAAAGAATAATCGTTAAGGTGATATTTCAAGCAAAAATACCAAACCTTAAATGTTTATGGTTCTTGCTTTCAAGGATTTGCTGCTTCTCTATTTTTGTATGTCACAGTGACCCTCTTATAGGCATTCCATCAGTGTGAGTAGTTGTGAGTTTGTTTTGTGTTTGTGTCCCAGAGAGGAATTCCTTAGAGAGCATTTGATTTGAATGATGCATTGAGGGAAACTATGTTTCAACAGATAAATGAGGAATGATGGATCCAAAATAAGCATCCCTCTTTTATGTTGACATCCTTGTTATATTACATTATATTCAGTTTGTCAATAAATTTCCATCTCTGTATGTTTGTGTGTATGGTTGTGTGTTTGCTCGAGCTGCAGTAGTTAAGCTCAGCAGTGGCGTCAGACTTCACCCTGCAGTTTAAAGCTCAAGATCTCAACCTTGTGGTGGAAAATGGAACTGCAGCACACATGCTGACAAAATGAGTGTCTAGCCTTTGCCTTTATGTGATTTTAAAAGCTATAAAGTAATTTGATGTACTTTTTAATTTTACAAGATGTACTGTATAATGTTTATCATATTTATTTGGGAATTTAATAAAGGAATCCCAAGATTATCTAGGTGGGATTCGACTTGATTTTTCTAACACTCTCTAGGGGTCCATATGATGGCTGATAATAACCAAGCAAATGTTTCATTATCAAGTGCTTCCTTTGAATGTAAGAGTGTGACAGATTGTTTCTTTGTTTCGTTTGCAGGGTCAACATAAGTCATGGAGTTAAGCATTTGGAAAAAAAGTTTTAAAATGTTGCTTGCTGTCCTCAAGTCTTAAGCACTTACTTGCTGGAGGCACACTGGACATTGGTCAGTACAGTGAAGTTATTCCTCACACTTCGAAGGCTTGCCAGAACCTAGATAAGCAGAGTAAAATAACATTTTGAGCGTCCTTTTTAAAGTATACAGTATTTTTTGAAAATCAATTTTCTTCTGAACAGTGTGGAGACATTTTTGTGTAAATGCAAGCACAAAATCTCCATAGTTTGTAGCCTAAATAGCATAATTATCTGCCATTTCCCCATGACAATAACATCAAGGATGAATCGCCTATCATAATAGTTAAAAATGATTGTCCTCTTGGTCCACAAATAGTTGCAGCAAAATGATTACCTGAGCAAAAGGTGTCACGATCAGGTCATCTCCATGTCTGCAAACACAAACAAAGAAGTGGTGAGAAACATCCTCAAAGATGGTACACACCAAATATCTGGTTTAGCTGTTGCATACAGATTACATGCATAAGTGCCCCCTGCTTATTTGTGGTTATAAGCAAAGATGTTAAGTAAGAACAATAGATAATGACCCAGCCAGCTTCATTTCTATAATTAACTGAAAGAGCCTAAAGAGGGAGAGGAATATAGGAGGACGGTCAAAACAGGAGTCTTTTGTTCCAATGGCTTGTAACCTTGTAAGGCACTTAGCTCTCAGTGACCTGTTCTTGTAAGATGAGACAGGGCAACATATTGAGTTACTCTTCTGTGGGTTTCAATAATTGTCATTATGCAACATCTGGAGTATGGACTACTTTAAGTAACCCACCCCCCACTACCAGATCTTGTGCTGGAGGGCAGAGCAGTAATTCAGCAGCAGAGCATCGACTAAAGCCAGTGGTGTAGTTTAATGGTTAAATAAAACAGAAAAACACTTTGGCTGAAGTCAGTAAAAATGAGTAATTGACAACTGCTAAGGAGATCTCTTTACCAGTAAAAAACACTACTTAAATGAAATCTCATCTATACTTTTATACACAGATAATGTTCTCCTAGGCTAAAACGGAGTATCACTGAGTAATAAGACAGTACAGCACAGGGCTCTTTTAAGAAAAGACGCAAATACAATTTTGTCCACAAGTTATAAGTTATTTTTAAGGTAACTCAAATACATTTTGTGTTGGGTTAGTGCATACACAATCCTTACGTTTATTAAACTGCCTACCATTATGGAAAGCAAAAACCTTCCTAATTTATTATTTGTGCATCTTGCTATAATTGTGTGTATGCCATGTTCCACTGCATGCATAAGCCTCTGGCTTAACGTCTTGTTCTTCATGTGCATGTTGTGCGTATTTGTGTGTGTGTGTGATACTCACAGTTCAGAGGCGATGGAGGAGTTTCGTGACATGGACTTGGGTGACAGGTCATAGTCGCTGTCAGAGCGGTAGAGGAAGGACTCTCGCCGCTGGTTATGACCGGGGAAGTTAGTGTGGAGGACCAGCCCAGAGCCGGGGGAGGCCTGGGGGTCCAGAGGGCTGCAGCTGGTGGACGGGCCATTCTCCACATCAAAACTGAAAACAGATAAACACACAGTTTAATATTACATTTATAATTGTAGTTCCGTTTTTCAGTAAAGTAGCATAAGGCAATAAAGCAGATATACATCAATGATTAGAGATAGGAGTGTTTACCAGTGTTTAAAGTATGACCAGTTTTCTGGTAACATTGGACTCAAACTAGACCAACTCTAAGCTACCAAGCTAGTGGAAAAACTCTGATAAGAAAACAAGTAGAAGAAACAAACTTAACCTTGAAATTGAAATGAAACACCTGCGCAAATAATACTTTTCATTTCAAACCTTTAGGTCCCATTGAGATCATTGATCTCTTTGTCAAGGGAGACTTTATCTTTCTGATAACGTTTCACTTTCACTATCAAACTCCCCGTTGATTTTATTGGGTTTAAACGACCTAGCGTTACGAAATGGAAAGAGTCTTCACATGTACACCCTTAAGAGGTAAGCACTACTCACACATAATTATGCACAGTAGACGCACACATACATAAATGCACATGACATGACTGGAAAAAAAGGGCACATGCTAGAGTGCACAGTGTTCATTCACTGTTGGAAATCACTGAGAGAGAGTCTCCTTCATTCAGCAGGAGAACGGGATGAATGGGGAAGGGAGGAGGTGGATCTCATTAAGACACCATGAGAGAAGAGGAGAGGAGGAAACATCACGTGAAGATCGTTTTTTATGGCTTTGGTGCGTCTTCCCAGCACGACAGAGTATTAGGGCCACACTTAGAAAAAAAAAAACAGCGAGATTTTGAGAATAAAGTCGTAATAATACGAGAATAAAGTCATAGTTACGAGAATAAAGTCGTAACATTACGAGAATAAAGTCGTAATATTACGAGAATAAAGTCGTAATGTTACGAGAATAAAGTCATAATTACGAGATTAAAGTCGTAGTTTCACAAGTGACTTGAGAAGGAGACAACAGTAGCGTCCTGCAATAAAATGAGGAATGTGGAGCATCTTGTGAAGCAGGGCTTTAGTTTAGGTTTCTCAAATAACGAAATACTTAATCTTTTGGCACATCAGCATCAAATTATCATAAGTATTAGAATTTTGAAAAGGTTGTGCAAGAAACTATGTCTATTATTTCGAAGAAAGAACCAAACGGACTTTGGAGATTGTCTCCTTTCTGCAGGAGGAAATAGCTGGTTCTGGCCGACGACAAGTGTCACACCCCCAGGTTTATGTCACGGGTTTTAGTGTTGTCTGTCTAGGTTTGGGTGTTTGCTGTCATGTTTTTCCTCCTGGGTTATTGTCTGGTCCTTTTCCCTGTGTTTTTCATGTCTGTCGTTAGTTCCCTGGTGTGTCTAATTCCGTGATTGTTTTCACCTGTCACTCCTCGTGTGTCTCCTGTGCCCATCAGTGTCAGCCCCGCCCCTGATTGTTCCCACCTGTGCCATCACAGTTATCAGTTCGTCTTGTCTATTGTCATGTTAGGTCTATGCTTTTGGAACTCTTTGGTTTTTGATTCCTCACTGCGTGAGCGCCTTAATTTTTTTGTCCTCTGTTTTTTTTGTCATCTCGACTGGAGTTTTGGTGATTACCTTTTTGTTCATTTTTTGCTAAATCATGGAAAAATAAAGTATCTCACAATACTTTACCTCTGCCTCCCTGTCTGCATTTGGGTCCTACATACTAAGTGCCTGGAATCGTAACAGAACGAACTGACCAAAAATGGACCCAGCAGACCTTTTGATGCTACAGGCGGAACGTCTTGGATACTCTCTGGAGTATATTTTGTATACGTGGAAAGGCGTCTCATCTAGACGGGGTAGAGAGGCTGCGTTGAAGGAGGCACGTCAGGAGGTTGCTCGTAGCCCTGAGAGCCAGTCCTCATTTTCTGACCCTTTCTTGGGGTCTGGTCGGGCGTTTGGAGGTCCACAAAGCCTCCAAAAAACTCCTAAGAGACGCAAGGCCAGGGTTCCGCACTCCAGTACCATCCCACATAGCCATGGACCCGTGTTCCGGTTCCTTGCCCAGCAGTCATGGTTCCGGCTCCAGTGCCGGCCCCAGCAGCCATGGTCCCTGCTCCAGAACCGGCCCACAAGGCCATGGATCCGTGCACCAGTAACGGCCCACGCATCCATGCTTCCACACTCCATTACCTGGCTTACACAGCCAGGGTCCAGGCTTCCGCTCCGCGCCCAGCAGCCATGGTTCCGGCTCCAGTGCCGGCCCCAGCAGCCATGGCCCCTTCTTCAGCTCCGGACCTTACAGCCATGTTTCCGGCTCCAGAACCGGACCTTACAGCCATGTTTCCGGCTCCAGGACCGGACCTTACAGCCATGGTTCTGGCTTCAGTACCGGCCCCAGTACCCATGGTTCCGACTCCAGTTTCGGCTCCAGGACTGGCATACCGGCCGACTCCAGCTCCTCGTCTCCAGTTGGCTGTTCAGCCGACGCCAGCTCCCCGAGTCCTGTCGACATACCGGCCGCCTCCAGCACCTCGTCTCCTGTTGGCTGTTCAGCCGACGCCAGCTCCCCGAGTCCTGTCGGCGTACCGGCCGACTCCAGCACCTCGTGTTCTGTTGGCGAACCAACCGTCTCAAGTCTCCTCTCAAGTCTCTTCTCAAATAGCCTCTCAAGTCTCCTCTCGAGTCACCTCTCGAGTCCCCTCTCAAATCTCTTCTCAAATCTCTTCGCAATTCCCCTCTCAAGTCACCTCTCGAGTTCTCTCTCAAGTCCCCTCTCGAGTCACCTCTCGAGTTCCCTCTCGAGTTCCCTCTCAAGTCAACTCTTGAGAGCCCTCTCAAGTCACCTCTCGAGTCACCTCTCGAGTCACCTCTCAAGTATCCTCTCGAGTTCCCTCTCGAGTTCCCTCTCTGTTCCCCTCTCGAGTCACCTCTCAAGTTCCCATTCAAGACACTTCTCAAGTCACCTCTCGAGTTCCCTCTCGAGTTCCCTCTCAAGTCACCTCTCAAGTCTCCTCTCGAGTTCCCTCTCGAGTCACTTCTCGATTCCCCTCTCAAGTCACCTCTCGAGTCTCCTCTCGAGTTCCCTATCGAGTTTCCTCTCAAGTCTCCGTTCAAGTTCCCGCTCAAGATTCCTCTCAAGTCATCTCTCAAGTCAACTCTCAAGTTTCCTCTCGAGTCTCCACTCAAGTCCCTACTCTTGTGCCGTTGGAGGTTCCGCTGGGGGTCCTGCCAACTCTATGTCCTGTGCAGTTGGAGGCCCCGCCGACTACTCTTCTGCCGTGGGGTCCTGCCAACCCTATGTCCTGTGCCGTTGGAGGCCCCGCCGACTACTCTTCTGCCGGGGGTCCTGCCAACTCTATGTCCTGTTCCGTTGGAGGCCCCGTCGACTACTCTTCTGCCGGGGGTCCTGCCAACCCTATGTCCTGTGCCATTGGATGCCCCGCCGACTACTCTTCTGCCGGGGGTCCTGCCAACCCTGCCCTTATGTCCAATGTCCGTTGGAGGAGCACCGCCGTACTACTTCCTGCCATGGGGTCCTGACCAGCCCTGATGACCTAGTGATCACTGGAGGTCCCAAGGCTTGACTACTCTCCCTGCATGGGGTTCCCTGNCTGTGCCACTGGAGACCCCATCAACTACTCTTCTACCGGGGGCCCTGCCAATCCCATGTCCTGTTTCGTTGGAAGCCTTGACATCACCTGTATCGCTGGGGGTCCTGCCAACTCCTTGTCCTCTTCCGTGGAAAATCTTGCCAACACCAGTTCCACCGGCTCCGGTTCCTGTCCGGTCAACACAGGCTCCTGCCCGGTCCCCTGAGAGCTGTGGTCTTCGCCCCTCCTCGAACTCTGCCTTGTCCTAAATTCCCCTGTCTCCCAGTGTTCAGTGTCAGTTCGTCTTGTCTATTGTCATGTCAGGTCTATGTTTTGGAACTCTTTGGTTTTTGATTCCTCACTGTGTGAGCGCCTTCATTTTTTGTCCTCTGTTTTTTTTGTCATCTCGACTGGAGTTTTGGTGATTACCTTTTTGTTCATTTTTTGCTAAATCATGGAAAAATAAAGTATCTCACAATACTTTACCTCTGCCTCCCTGTCTGCATTTGGGTCCTACATACTAAGTGCCTGGAATCGTAACAACAAGGCTATCGTTGGTTACATCTACAAGCTGTTCCAAGGGGATTTGTTGTTTCACAAGAAACGATGAGACTTGTAATCAAGGCTTTGAATCCAGAAGGAGTCGAATGATAGCCTTGTAGTGGAATCGGAATGAGCTCCCCATTGAAATCAGGACAGCAGAAAGCTTACACATCTTCCGGCGCAGACTGAAAACTCATCTCTTTCGACTCCACTTCGAGCGATAGAATTACTAACAAAGAATTGCTAACAAAACACTTATATACTGATAAAGGACTGGCTTATCTAAAGCCAGTTGAGTAGCACTTGAAATGTTTTGGCTCTTGAAACCTGATGTACTTATATGATTCTGTTTTCTTCAAGTTTGTATCTTGTTGGTCGAACGCACTTATTGTAAGTCGCTTTGGATAAAAGCGTCAGCTAAATGCAATGTAATGTAGTCGGACAGAACCAGCCATTTCCTCCTGCAGAAAGGAGACAATCTCCTCCAAGTCCGCTTCTCAAGTCACTTATGAAACTACGACTTTAATCTCGTAATTATTACTTTATTCTCGTAACATTACGACTTTATTCTCGTAACTATGACTTTATTCTCGTATTATTACGACTTTATTCTCGAAGTCTCTCTGTATTTTTTTCTAAGTAAGGCCCTAATACTCCGTCGTATCCCAGAGATCAAACAAACAGTGAACGAGAGATATGTTGTATGTATAACATTTTCCACGGTAGTTTGAGTTTTTGTACGTCACACTCTTTTATCGCTTTGTTCTGCCTTGATGGCCATTACCTCTCTTCTGAAAAATGTGTTTTGGTAAATGTGGCTTCATTTTGATGTTTAACCTTGACATTACAGTATGATGAGTTTGCAGTTTAAACAAAAAAAGCTCTTTTTTAATTAATCTGCTAAAGAGAAAACGCTTTGCTATGCTCATGTTAACTG